TTAACATCTCCTCCAAACTGCCATTGCCGACCAAGAGCAAGCCCATCCAACATCGATGTGAACACCACTGCGCTGAGCACTGCCTGGGTGTCCCATTCACACCCCTCGTCACACTGCTCCTGCGAATCTGGAGAGCTGGGTCTGCTTCTGCTGCGGCTCCGAGACATGGCAAGAAAGAGGTCAGACTGGCTGGCTGCTGACTCTGAGAGAAACAAGCAAGTGAGTGACAAATAGTGCAGAGATGAACTTAGCACCACTGCAGTTAGTTCTACTTGCTCTTCGAAGAGATGTCAGAGCAAATCTCGCCTCTAACAAATGAAGAAGTTCCCAACATGGTTGGACCTGGAAAGCAATTCAAAGCATTATATGCACACATGCCAGGGATCAATTCAAGCACTCATTGGCACATGTCATCTCAATCCCTGGAGGGATCTCTCAACTGATATATATACATGAACATGGTTCCAAAATTGACGTCAGACTGAAGAACTCAACAGCCAACAAGCAACGCCTCAAAAGGCTCGGAGATGACACGAAGTAGGTTCCCACTCCTTTGCAAAATTGATTGACACAACACCCCACAATGCTCATACTGCTGGAATTCCAACCAGAACGCGAAAAGAGTGTACCCCGTGCACACCTCTGCCAAAAGTTGTCAGCTAACCCCTGAAGGAGGACACCTCAGCAGGCTCACCAGTTTCACATGAGCCAAAACTCATTCACTGCTACGTTTTGTGAAAGGGAAGAAGGCATGTAGATGCAAATGCACGCAATGTGGATTCACAACAGTGCACTGCTTGATTTTGAATTTAAATTAACAACCTACCCTTTTCCTGGACCAATGTCTGTCCAGTCTCAAGCCTCTACTGCTAATACAGTCAACCCACAAGGCGCTTACCACCGTGCCGCAAGGTCAAAGATCCAGATGATAGGAAAGCGAAGCCCAGTCCTGGAAATTGCATTTTGAGCGAAGCCCATGTCTAAACAAAAGAAGCGCAAAAAGCCATGACAAGAGTCTCACAGTCCACTGTCAGCTAACCTCATTCTAAAGTGCACGATAAGACCTCAATCATATCTATACAGAAAAGACCAATGATTGGAAATGATTGGCCCCAACCCTGGAGCACGTTCAGTTCCAGGATGCCTTAAATCCTTCCTGTGCTCGGCGAAGCTTTCAAAACAGACTCACAAGCAGCGTGGCAGGATGAGGCCCCAGCAAACATCGGGCATGCAGAACCACTGGAATGACCTGCCAATGGTGCCACGTGCATGTAAGACTCAGAGTGTCTCACAAAGTTTCATACTGCTACATCAGCCACAAATTGCCCACCTTGGCAACAATCTTCATCTTGGACATTGCAGCCACACGGAACCTGTAGCATCTACACGAGCTGACAACAGCCCCTGAGAAGCTTTTAGACAGGCGCAAGTGAGCTCATCTAAGTCAGTGCATAATGCATAATGCACAAAGAACTACACAGTGTCTTATTGTTTTCGAGAGGTGCAATGCCAATGCTGATTCATGTGAGCAAGCCTCATGTCCACCTTTGGCATGAATGGAAAAGACCACCTGCAAACTCGCATTCAATCTCTCAACGGACCAGTGAATGAATGAAAGACATGAGAACTCAGAACCGAGTGTCGGTGGCTGCTGTCACACTCAACTCTTTCATGTCAATTATGAATGAAAGCTCCCCATGTTTGACTGATTTGGCCTGCTTGCTGCTTGTTGATGATTTGCCAGTGACAGTGAAGTTTAGTGTCAAGCCTGCCAGAGCAAAACATTGAGGACTGAGAGACAGTCAAGTAAATGTTATCTAGGTTTTTGCGTCTGCCAGTGGCCTAGAATGAAAGCGGAGCAACCAACATGCGACCTGGATGATGTGAACACAACCCGAGGATGGGGGTGCCCTGCTCACTGCAAAACTAAGTTGTCCACAATCCGAAGGGTTCCAGTTTTCACTACAACAATGTCAAAGAAATGCAAAAGGCTGCAGGAGAGTGAAAGAATCTTCAATGGTGCAGCATTCCAACAAACAAAAAGACTCAGAGCTCTGGCGGTCCTCTGGCGCGCTTGCTGCGAGTGGGCCTTTCAGCATTTTCCTTCCAGGCAGAACTCAAATTATGTTTGATTCAAAACATGGGTATGAAGGACTGCCTGTAACATCTCCAGCACAGTGCGGCGAGAAGAGGTAGAGAGTGCCCGACTGGAACCTCCACTCTCCTCCTGGTCCTCATCCAAGAAACCACACCATCCAGGGTCTTGGTCATAAGGGCGAAGGCCATCAGCAGAGTCCTGTCAGACAAAAACAACTTGAGCTGGTTGGTGGGGGTGGTCTATATCCAAAAGTTTCCAGTGCAGTAAACCAGTACAACACAATGGTTTGTTTGGCAACCCGGTCCGGCAATTGGAGGGTGCCCGGAGGTGGCAACGAATGGGCCATTTGTGTGGCAAAACGATTCAACTCATGCAAAGTTTCCTGGCCCATGTGACCAAACCGGTTGTAGGTCTCATGTGCAAACCTGATAGCATCACCAAATGCACGAGGATAGGCTGAGGAGTTGCCCATAGCACTTCGAACCCCATTTGTCCACCTTGCGAAAGCAATTTGTAGCTTTGAAACAACCCACATGGAATGGATCATACATACTTGTATTCTGAAAATCGATGATAAATGTGTGTACATAGATAGGTAGTCTTGTACACACATGCATATAAACAAATAATGGATGTCCATAAAGTTGAATCAATCATATACAGTAGATATATTTTTAGATATATAGACATTCATACATACATACAGACAGACAGAGTGACAGACAGACAGACATTTAAACAGACAAAAAGGCAACTATATGTCATAATTGCAAATATATGTGTGTGTGCATGTTGGTCTTTACACATGTGTGTATTAGTTGTAAATACACAAACACACATTCTAAATGTTTATATGAATGTTTGTATCTTGGACTTGTGTACGATGATACACATTCAGATGCATAATATTATGTAGACGTGTATGTATATATATAGATGTTATGTTTGATTTGTTGTAATGCACACGTAAATGCACACATAAGTGCGAATGTATAATGTAGATGTAAGTATAGTAAAGTAATGCAATGTATGTCAAAGAAAATATTAATGTAGTGTGAATGAACAGGAAGTCAGTAAGTGTGTAGGTAAGTAAGTAAGTAAGTAAGTAAGTAAGTAAGTAAGTAAGTAAGT